ACTCCTTTTTCCCTCGCCTTCAGAACCGAGGCGGTCATCCCTGTGGAAATAGGGGTACACTCCCTAAGGGTCCAGCACCACGATCCCATCACCAACGAGGAAGGACTCCGTAGCAACCTCGACTTGGTGGAGGAAGCAAGGGAGATGGCTGTAGTCCGCAACGCGGAGTATAAACGGCGCATGACAAGGTACTACAATTCGAGGGTGAAGCCCCGTTCTTTCCAACCTGGGGATTTGGTCCTCAAAAAAGTAATCCTCGCTACAAAAGATGCACGCGAAGGGAAGCTGAGACCAAATTGGGAAGGGCCCTACCGCGTAACAGAAGTAGTGAGACCAGACACCTACAAAATCCAAGATTCTGAGGAAAAAGTTTTACTCCATCCATGGAATGCAGAGCACTTGAAAAGGTATTACCAATGACACCTTGAGAGCATCAAAGCAGTAGAAGTTGGGACTTGATTTGATTTTTAGGGGTGTTACCCAAGATTTCAATGTATTTTTTTTGGGAATTATTACCCAATATCGCTTTTTATAAGCAATAAATTAATAAAATTTTCTATGTCATTTACTCCAAAAAGATTTTCTGTATTTCATTTCAAAGGAGTATCGGTACAAAAATAAGGCCAGATACCGCCTTTTCAAAAAAAAAAAAAAATCAAAAGTCCTAAACACTCTAACTGCTCTCATGGTCGTCCCCCACCTCCTCCTCATTGTCATCAACAGCATCAGATCCCCCCTCATCACTGTCGTCAGTGGGCACGAAAGGTGAGAAGTCAATATTAGGGAAAGCGGTAGAAACTTTCCCTCGGAGATCCTCGAAACCATCAATAAAAGCATCTGCAAGACCATTCTCCAAGTCTTCCTCAGCACGGGAAACTCTCTCCCGAGCAGCCGTCAACTTTGCCTCTGCAACAGCTGCCTCTCTGAGCATGGCCCTCCCATGGGCCTCTACAAGCTCAGCCTCTCTGAGCGTGCTCCTCTCGCGGACTGCCAAAAGCTCAGCCTCTAGCTTAGTGGCCCTCTCATAGGCTGCAACAAGCTCACCATCCCTGAGCGCGCTCCTCTCGTGGACTGCCAAAAGCTCAGCCTCTAGCTTAGTGGCCCTCTCATGGGCTGCAGCAAGCTCACCATCCCTGAGCGCGTCCCTCTCGCGGGCCGCCAGAAGCTCGGACTCAAAATTAGAAAACCTTTCATGTGCTGCCACAAGTTCACCCTCCGGAGCACGTCCCTCTCACGGGTCACCAAAAGCTCAGAATCAAGCTCGACAATCCTCTCCTGAGCAGTAATAAGCTCCCTCTGCACAAGGCTAAGATCCAGCTTCAGCTTGTCTTGATTATAGGCCCTCGAAAGCAAGCAGATGGAGGAAGTCGAAACCTAAAAAAAAAAAAAGAGTCAAAAACACAAGAAACGACTGGAGAAAGGGAAATAGCAGACCCTTACCTGAGCCAGACCTTCCAAATACGTGTTGACGATATTATCAGTGCCCGAAGCGCTAAGCTCAGAAACTTCTGGCCCAAACACAAACCTCCCAAGCCTTGCCCTGATAGCTGCTGGTCTCCCCATCATAGAACCAGCCCAAATCGGCACTTGGGTAGAAGTTCCTGAACAAGGAGGAGACAAAGGAGGGGTAGCACGAGGAGAGGATAAAGGTGGAACAGATGTGCCTGGCAAGGAAGATTCTGGAGCAGCAGTTGGAGAAGTTGCCAGTTGAGAAGGAGCCACCGTGGAAGCCACATGGGGGGCATCATCCGTCCTTGTCACTTTGGAAGAAGGAGGGCTCCTGCTAGAAAAACGGGACACCACCACCCTCTTACTTGCTGCAAGAGTAGAGAAGGGTTAGATAAAAAAAAAAAAAAAAAAGGGGGAGAGGAAACTAGCTCACCCTTTTTCTTCGAAGAGGAGCTGCCAGATTTCTGAGATGGAGCTACAGCTCTAGTATACTTGGGCAGGAGAACTCCCAAATCTTTACAAGGGCAAGCTTTGACAGCCTCCAATTTCCACTCCTGGTCCCGGGAAAGCACAGGTATATCTGCATGGAAAAAGTGAGCACACACACAAAAAAAAAAAAAGAAGTGTGCAGCATACCGGGTTTTTTAGCAGCACCCCAATGTGTTGGCACCGAAACTCTGTCGGCTTCTGAAGCCCATTCTCCACCAATAAAGAAGAAACAAGATTTCCAGCCGCCGCAATTAGAGCGCATTCCTGTAAGCACTGTACCACTCCGCGCGGTAAAATAGTACCATCCCCTATTTGGTGTAGGGTTTCGCTCAAATTATATGCTGCATGAAACTCCATAGGGGAAGCATCCTCGTGGTGCACCTTTCTCCATAATGCAAGAAAATCGAGCAGGACTCTCCAACCGTTGGGCGCTAGTCGCCCCGGAGTCAAGGAGAAGTAATGCAAAACACGACAAATGGGGGAGGACATGAGAAATCTTAACCCAGCCTCAAGCATCTCCTCGTAGACAACAATATCCCCGGAAGAGTCATCGCAAGCAAACTCGCCCAACTCAGCCCGACGGCACAACACGGTCGGAGGGATGCGATAAGTAAAAACAAGCCTTGAAATATCTTCATCTGAGCAGAACAAACTATGAAGGGTGCTCACCTTAGACCCGTCATCATCAAGTCCCACTTTGCTCTTGCGTTTCTTCTTCCGGGGCCTTAAGGAGTAGTCCAAATCACCATTGGGAGAGTCTTGAGGAACTTGAATCGGGGGAGCTACAATAGGGGTTTGATCATCAATGGCAGCACCCAAAGCTTCCTTACTACTTGCAATGTCTAGCCCAACGCCTGAAAGAGTGCCTGACTGCTGTTGCTCGTCAAAACAAAATTGCCCAGTAGCTTGAAGGGTGTCTGGTCCTTCAATATTGCGCAAAGCAGAATTTTTGGCGCAAAAAATCAGCACCTAAGGCGCCCAAATCAGCGCCACGAGTGGGAATCGGATCAGCCCGTGCTCCCAGGCCACTGCCTAGCTCTCCCTGACGAACCTTGGACTGATTTTCAGCGCCCCTTGATGGAAAAACGCTGCTGCCTAGCGTTCCAAAGCCGCCCAGCGCAGCAGGTCTGAAGTTGTCCGGGACAGCAGAAGCAGCAGTCAGGCTGCTGCCCAGCGCACCTGGGCTGTCCAGGATAGCAAGGCCAGCGCCCAGGCAACTGCCCAGCGCTCCTGGGCTGTCTAGGACAGGAGGAGCAGAGCCTAGGCAGCCGCCCAGGCCCCCAGCGCGCGCGCGCTGCGCAGCCACGCGTCTGCGCTGCCCAATCGCGCGCCCAGCCGTCTCCCTTCGCTGCCCAAGCCACTCCTCGCGCTGCCCGTCTCCCCTTCGCTGTCCAGCCCTTCATTTTCAGCCCCAAAGCTGTCCAAGACAGCATTCGAATGCTCAAAACTAGCCTCCAAGTTCTCCAAAATGGTGCCTACTTCCTCCCTTTCTTCAACCTCCACCACTCCCTCTTCAATCGACATTGTTCACTTGAGAAGCTCAACTAGCAAGGAAGGAATCACACTCTTGAAAGGATTCAAGGAGAACACACTTTGGCTTCAACAAATTGGATAGGACTTGAGTTCTCAAGGTTTTCAAGAGGTGGGTGTTCAACCTTAAAAATGAGTGAAATGGGTAACATGAAGAAGAAGACTATATTTATAGTATAGGGTTTTTCAAAAAGAGAAAAAAAAAAGCTCAAATAGAATATTATGGGTCCTCTTTAAAATAAAGTGGTCAAATAGAAAATTATGGGCCCTCTTCAAAATAAAGTGGCCAAATAAAAAGTTATAAGTCATTTTCAAAACAAAAAGGCCAAACAGAATATTATGGGCCTTCTTTAAAAAAAAAAATATGTAATCAATGCCTCATTCTCCAAGTCTCCTTGGACATGGGGCATTGGGGGGCAAATGATGGGTTAAGCCCAAATAGTCCAATTTATGTGTTAAAATCCAACCCCAGTTGAGAAGCCCAACCTAATTTTGATTCCACCAAGTCCAAGACAGTCCAAGACAGGTTAAACTTCTTGCTTAGCACGTCATCAAGAGGAGAACACGGGAAGCTTATCTGCACCACCGAAGGAAACGGTCTAATCTTTGACCACGTTTCATGAAGAGCTCCCCAACCTCCTCCTTCCGTTGAGGATAAGTCATGATCTCCACCAAGAATGATCTCTTAGTTGCGATAAAGAAGCCTTGAGGATATGTCATTATCTCCACAAGAATGATCTCTTAGCTGCTATAAAATAACTCCAATCTGGTAGAAGAAGGAGATAAATGTCACGCCCCACCAGAGACTTACAGAGGACGAACCGACTACCGGAGATCACCACTTTCTTTGATTCTTCATTCTCTCTCTCAAAGCTTGTATCTCTATTCTCCATACCTTTGAATCAATAAAATACCCGGCAACTGAAGCCATTGAAGAGTGGACGTAGGTCGAATTGACCGAACCACTATAAATTGTGTCTTCTTTAATTTTCTCATTGATTTCATTGCATTTATTACCTATACTTGACAGGTAATGTGCAAAATCATTTTGTGCATCATCAACTTTCATGGCGGTGGCTTTATCATCGAAAGCGCCTTTTCTCCACTCTACCATAACTATCTTAATTCACTTGCCGCAGAAGCAAACATCGTGGTGGTGTCTGTGAATTACAGGTAAGAGCATCAATGTTAACCTTTATCTAGAATTCGATAATAATCGAACTTGAAAATGATCGGTTCAATTATAATTAAATTTTTTATTTATCTCATAATCACTCGAGCAGAATTAAATTTTATCATTTTTCTACATATTACGAAAAAGTTGGACAAATGTATTCAAATTAATAGTCAATGCATGAAAGACAATCAAGATCAAATTGGAAAGGTATAAAATATAAATTTAAAACTATAGAGGTTCATGTAAAATGAAATCAAAGCATCATTTTAGAGGTATAAAACTTACTTTGAAAGGTTAAGGAATTTTAGAGGGCCAAAGCATAATTTTAAAAAATTGAGGGGGCATAGACCATAACATGACTCCATCACAGCACACACCACCACACTATTCGATTAACACCTTCACTGTTTATAGGCTAGCACCGGAGCACCATCTCCCTGCTGCGTACGACGATTCTTGGGTTGCCATCAAGTGGGTTGCTTCCCATTCAGGAGGAGATGGTCAGGAACCATGGCTAAAGGATCATGTTGATTTTCAACGTGTGTTTTTTAGTGGAGATAGTGCTGGTGGAAACATAGCACACAACATGGGTATGCGAGTCGGGTCGGAGAAATTAGATGGTATCAGTCTTGTCGGATTGGTGTTAGCCCATGCATTCTTTTGGGGTGAAAAGCCAATAGGCAATGAATCTTCTGAACCAATTCTCCCAAGAAATCTTACGTCGAAAACTTGTGGCGCTTTGTGAATCCGTCGACTGTTGGGTCTGATGACCCGTTGTTTAACCCGGCTGCCAATCCCAAACTTTCTAGCTTGGGTTGCAGCCGGGTTCTGGTTTGTGTTGCTGAGAAAGATTTATTGAAGGACAGGGGTTGGTATTACAAGGAGGTATTGGTTAAAAGTGGGTGGAAAGGAAAGGTTGAGATTATGGAAGCCAAAGGGGAAGAGCATGTTTTTCATTTGTTTAATCCCACTTGTGAAAATGCTGTAGCTAAGCTGAAAAAATTGGCTTCTTTTTTTAATCAGGACAAAGCCTAGTGATTAACGTCGGTCTACTTTCTTGGTTGTATCTCTTCTTTTTTTTTCTGTTTTTTTTAAAAATAAAATGGATGTAATGATATTTTTTCCGACTCTTGATTGCGATATAAACTTAAAATATTGACTTCAAATTTTAATTATAACTGTTGAACTATTTTATATTAGGATCGTGTTGTCTGTCATACTAGATTCAAGGTGCATCCAACATTGAATGCTTTTCATGGCATTGACATTTTTGGCATTAGATTGTGTGGCCCACAAATTTTTTTCAAGTTAATGTTATTGAAATTTTAAATTTTAATTTAATCTGTTGATTTAATAATATGACAAATGATACAGATCAAAAGAATTATCATATGACTATAAGTCCACAACTATTGAACTTTTTTATCGGAATTTTATCATTTACTGTATCATTATATTAATAAATTAAATTAAATTAATTTTTAATTTTTAATAATATTACTCTTTTTTCAATGCAGATATTGATAGGTTAATATATTCAACCTTTACCCATCCCATCTGACAAATATGTAAATTAAAAATCTTGAAAAGGACGTGGAGTTGTTGAAGAAGATTTGATTTTGATATGAGGATATCCCAATCCTAATGGTCCTACCTACGTATGAATAAACTAGAAGTTTCAATTTTCAATAATGCTATGCATACTAATATTTTGTAGCGTAAATTTTATTAACATCTCCTGAATTTAAGTCATATTTTCTTAGCATTTCTTTTTTTTTGAAATATCACTACAGACTTTCGGCAATTTTTGTTCATTTTACTAAATTACCCTTATTAGAACTCTCATTTTACTTAATTACCTTTATTCAAATTAATACAAAAATAATCTATAATTTTATCAAATTAACATTTAATTTTGTTTGATTAATATTCAATTTTATCCAATTAATATTTAATTTTATCAAATTAACACAAAAATTAATATTTAATTTTATCAAATTAGCACCAAATTACCATTAAATTTTATCAAATTTACATTAAAAATTTTCAAATTAATATTCACATTCATCAAATTAGTATTCAATTCATCCAATTAATATTCAATTTTATTAAACTAATACCAAATTAATATTCAATTTCATGAAATTAACACCAAATTAACATTCAATTTTATCAAAATCACATTAAACTTCATCAAATTAATATAAAATTGGATTTATTTAACACTAAATTAACTATCAGTTTTATCAAATTAACATTAAATTTCATCAAATTAATACTAGATTTTACCATACTAACATAAAATTGATCTTAAATTTTATAAAATTATCATTTTATTTCAGCAAATTAATATTCAATCTGATCAAATCAATATTCATAAAATTAACATCAAATCAATATTAATTTCATTAAATTAACTCCAAATTAACATTTAATTTTATCAATTTAACATTCAATTTATCAAACTAACATCATTTTTTTGATTAAATTTCAAATTAACATTCAATTTCATAAAATCAAATATCTAATGGTGATTTTCCATCCGTTTGAACAGTACTTAGCATAGGTCGACTAATCGGACCTCGGTGAGATAGCTTCACTCAATTTATAAAATTAACATTCAATTGTTTGAATTGTTTATCAAATTAATATTATTTTTTAAAATTAACACCAAATTAACATTTTTTTGATACATTTTTTTTGTAGGAAACATTCTATTTAATCCAATTAGTATTTAATTTAATTCAATTAATATTAAAATGATGTTTACTACTACTTTAAACTTATTAGTATAGATGACCAAGGGTAAATTTAGCAATTCATAAAAAGAATAAACAATCATATCACAGCAAGGGTAGTTTGTAAAATGTGTATATATAAACTACAAGGGTGTACAGTAATATTTCAAAAACTAGACAAGTGTCAATAAAATATGACTTAAATCTAAGGGGTGTCAGTGAAATTTAACCTCTTTTATACCCACCATCTTAATATAGACCGTTAGATTAATAAGTTCCACAAAATTTATTAAATATTCAACGACTCTGATTGTATTACATCAAGTGGTGTTAGAGAAGTGATGCATACAAGGCAGTGTCGTGAGCACTATATTTAAATGTTTTAATTGTATTATTTTATTTCCCGTGTAATTTCGATGAGAAAAAAGGCTCACCCTTACTTTTCGTATGCGTACGTCCTAAGAAGATAATGTTGTGAGAAGGATGATCCAAATCACTAGAGAAGACGCTGTGTGTGCACGTTCTCCTTCCGTCTAACTTCATCGAAATGGAGAGAGAGAAAGTCGGGGAGAGAGAAGAGAAAGGGTAAAAAAACCTCTTATAATAAGACTTGTTTTACTGCTAAGAGGTTCGAAGATGAGATCTCATTAATGAGCAAATAGTTTCCCATGTTTTCACAATTTTGAGGATCAGTTCTCCAAAAATTGGACAAACCATGTCAGCCTTGATTTCTACTTTTTCTTCTAAGTTCTCACTTTTTTTAAAAAATTGTTTTAGGTAAATTCTAATCAAACAACATCTCTTTAGTTTTTAATTGTTTGAGAACAAAAAATTGTTTTTGGAATACAATCCAAACAGACCTCTAGTTTTGATATACCACTGTTCCTGTGGAAGAAAAACAAGGCATTGATATTTGTTCTATATCTGACAAACAATTCAAAGGACTAAAAGGAATTTTTTTTTTTTTTGGGGGTAAGAAGAAAATGACTCAAGTTCCACTTCAAGGATTCTGTGATTTTTAAAGAAAACAATGACAATTGTTTTTTTTTTTTTTTTTTTTTATATTAATCTATTGAGATGGTTGAATCGGTCAGTTTCATTAACATCTGACGATTGTTGTTGTGCCACCGGTACATAGAAGAAAAACGAGACACACAAGTCTAAATACAGGTTCCCAGTTTCCTTGGCCCTGAACAATACCCATTCAATCACAACTCAGCAAAAAAAATTGAAAAATAAAGGGAAGAAGCCACATGTCCTTAGCCCTCATTCATTAAAGAAGCCAACCTCTTCAACAAAGTCACAGCCTTCTCACAAGTTGGGTTAAACAAATGAAACACATGCTCTTCCCCTTGTGTCTCTATAATCTCCACCACACCACCCCATCCACTTTTCCTCAAGGTCTCATAGTAAAACAAACCCCTTTCTCTCAGCCCATCCTTCTCAGCCACACACACCACTACCTGTTGTAAAAATAATAATTTACAATTCATTATAATGGCCTCTAAATCAACAAAAGTAAGCTAATTTAAATAGAATTAACAAAATAATAATAATAATAAGAGAAAATTAGAACCCAAAAAATCAGTTCAATGCATTTTATGAAAGACACCTATTTTAGAATACTGCCGTTTTCTTGGTTTATGTAGTAAACCAAACTAGACTTATTGATGTTGAATAGAACAAGAAATCCATCGACTCAAATAAATCCTCGATTGCCTTTTAATAAAACGCGCAAAATATTCAAAAGAATTCTTACTGATTTTATTCACTATAATTTGGAATGATCAAACTAAGTGGATGAAGTCCATTTTAAACAAAATCGCACCCGTACAAAACATCACGAAATGAATCATCACCACTCTCCTAAAAGATGAATCATCACCACTCTCTAAAAGCTGTGACTATTTATAAAAGTTGTGACCATTTCTGATGATTGATGTTCAAGAATTATGATTTGCTGGTTGTGTTCTTTTTGTTAAAACAAAAAAATTATTGTTTATTTAAAAATTTTAAGCACAAAAATAAAAATAACAATCAGCATCACCTTGGTGCACCCCAAGCATGGCAAATTCGGATCCACAGCTGGGTTAATCCTTGGGTCCTTCGACCCGGTTGTACCTGGACATGCAAAAAGCCATGTCTTAGTCACATACCCGTCTCTGCTAGCAAAATCTGGATGAACCAAACAAACTCCACACAGCTTCACTCCTGCTAAATCTTCAACCCCGGCTCTCACTGCTATGTTGTGAGCGATATTGGCTCCGGTGCTATCTCCCGCGAGAAAAACTCTCCGGAAATTGGCGTAGTCGTTAAGCCAGGCCTCAGGGCCTTGTCCACCACAATGTGATGCCACCCATTGAAGAGCACCCCATGAATCCTCATAAGCTATGGGTAGAGGGTGTTCTGGTGCTAACCTGGGGATGTCACATTGTAATATCAATTTCATATTATATAACATTTAATAACCAACCAAAAATCATAATATAGTCCATTAAAAAAAAAAGATGACCATAAAATTATTTGTACTTAATTAATTTGGGACTTCATGGAATTTGTCAAGGGATTAGTGGCATATCTCATCCGATACTGAAACTTAGTGTTAATCTGTGACTTAGACTTAAATTTAAATAACATTTAAGTAAAATGTTCGATTTCAATAAATAAGGGTAAACTCAAATTTAAAAATAAAATAAAATATGACTATTAAATTTTTAAAAGAGAATAAAACTTATATTAAAATTTTGAATAGATATTTGAGTTTCACTTAAAAATTGAGTCTCTTTTCGTTTAGTATGAATTTGAGTAAAAGACTAAAACTTATTTTTAGCCTAGATTAAATTAAAATTTAAATCAAAATTTGAGTAAGATTTTGAGATGCCTTCAAATTAAATGCATTGCTATATAAAAGAGTATATACATAAATAAAAAAGAATTTGTTTGCAAGGGTTAATTTATGGCTCGAGTCAATAAGAAATACAAATATCACTGCAAATTAAAATTAGAAAAAAAAAAAAAGGGAAAAAAACAACCTGTAGTCGACGGACACTGCCAGAACATTAGCTTCGGCTACGAGGGAGGTGAGATAGTTGTGGTAGGTAGGACAGAAAGGTGACCCAAAACAAAAAGCTCCGCCATGGAAGTAGACCAGAAGAGGGAGCTTTTGGCCTGAATTGATGGTGCTAGGCATGAAGAGACGTGCCGATACGCCTGTTTCCGGCAAAATCACGACGTCCTTGGAGGCGACACCATCAGATTGAGAATCGGAGGATGGAGGAACCACATCTGTTCCGAAGAATCTCTCTACGCGACCGTCTTTGAATGCTCGGAAATATGGAAGAAACTCGTATGATACTTCATCGGTGATTGAGCTTGAATCCATTGTGTTAGGGCGAAGAAGAACTGTGGAGAAGAAGATGGTGGTGGAGTAATGTTTAGTGAAGAAAATCATGAGCTATAAAAATGGAGGATTGTGGGAGGGGTACCGTTTTGTGTCGGGTTAGATTCGTGTCGAATTTAAATTTGTTCTATTTATACATGATTCATTTTTAATCATGTATGGTTGAATTTGGGTGAGGATCATCGCTATAAGAAAATTAGCAACACCACAATAGTGTCATTTTGTATCAAAATTATATTATTTTTTAAATAAATTGACATCGTTTTGGTACAAAACGGTTCTGTTTTAATCAACAACAGAGAAGCTAGATTCAATCGGATTCGCTGTGCTATGAATTTGTGTAGTGTATAAGGGGTCTCTAAGACGTGTTTAGCGAATTTTCATCGTATTTAACTAAGTTTGTGTCAACACACGTCTAAGTAGATTTAATCTGTTTATTACCTTTATAAGTGTAAATCCAAACCAACAAAGTCGAAGTCGATTTCACGTTGTACATCTAAATAATGTGCCAACGTTTTTTCTGCTTCTTCTTTTCTTTCTCTTTTCCCATGATAGAACAAGTCTGGACCCAATTGCTTTCAGAAACACATGGTTGCAAAGTATGCTAGGGTATTATTTGTGAGCTACTGATTTTAGCATCATCTTCGAGGCAAGTTTAAGTAGTAACAAAAATGAAACAAAATTTAATCGTCGTGAGTTTTACTCTAATTTGTCAAAATGTGACCGCACCTAACATAGATGATCTGATTTTGACCAGATCAATAATGAGATTTATCAAAATGTGTGTAAATTAGTTTGAACACTTCTAATCATTAAATCAAAAAAAAAAAAATTATAGTATCACAAGTGACGTTTTTATTAACTAAAGTGTATAATTTACGAGTGATTACACATCTCATTAATCTATGTTATAATTATGAGTCTAAAACGCATCTGATTGGAACCATTCTAAAAAGACAGTACAAATTTGGGTTTGGTCTTACAATGTGAAATTGAAGGACAAACGATGGTGCCGTGTTGGTCATGGCAGGAAAAACTAATTTTTTTGTAATGATTTGCCTACACACCCCTTGCAATGACAAGGACATCTGACCAATCCAACGGGTTATTTTTTAACATTGTAATATATTTTTATTGAGTAATAGTACATGTAAATTTATCTTATTTTGTTATTTCACTTTTTATTTTTTTTGTAATTAATAATTATAAATAAATTAAACCAAAATTTACAATTACCAATCATTTTTTTGAGATAAGACCATCAACCTTATCTATCCAGGAAATAGAGGGACAAAGAGACGCCTGGCTGAAAAAAAATATCCGAATCGCAGGTCCAATGGTAAGTCGTATTTATTTAGGGTCGTTTCTAACTCTCATGTGCTTATCAAGTAGGATTTGATTGTCACACTTTCACCCCGGATCACATAGGGTGAGTGGCGGATCGACCACCAAGGCCTTAACCAACTAACTATGTGTATAATAAATGCAAAATATAACGGAAGATAAATAATAAAGTGATCAAATTCATTGACCAAATAAATATCAAAGGAATAAACTACATACCACCAATATCATTAATAAACTCATGTAAAACAATAATTAAATCATAAGATTCACTATTCTAAACATAAGTAATATTGTTCCCAAAATAATTAAACATTTGTCTCAAAATTATAATAAATTTTTATTCCTGAAGACTTATAATAAAATAAATCTTCAATTCCTCTAACCCCCTCTGTCTATATATGGACTTACTCTTCACCCTAATCCTCATCTGAAAAATGTTAAATGTTTAGATGAGTATAATAGCCCATGAATAGCAACCACCTCTATTAAGGCGTGAAAATAAATCTCATAGTTTATATACAAAATAAACTTTGATACACACATAAGTACAACAAATTGTATCTCAACCCCTCTCACATAATCTTTTAAACAAAATGATTTCATAATCGCAAATAACTTTATAAATGAAAAGACATTTATAATCCAAAACACTTACGCACACATTCAGTTCCAAATACCTTTGTCAAATCATGTTTGTTACCATTAGCCTGATAACTGACCTACTCACTTGTCATCACTAGCATGATGAGTGACCCCGTCTCTTATTACCACTAGTCTAATAACTGGCTCAGTCTCTTGTCATCACTAGTCTAATGACTGCCCTAGTCGTTTGTTATCATTTAGACCTAATAAGCCCAGTCTCCGTCTCATAAACATGATTTTCAAACATACAAAAACTGTAGTTTTAGTCTTAACACGTACAAAATTTTCCTTCCATCATCAAAGTAATGATATAAAATCATCCCACAAGTTTTTCAAAATTCACATGTAGAACAATTTACAATTTTAAAATATTTAATTGCAACCTCAAACATCAACACATATATCATATATATGAAAAATCTTTACGCACGCATCCGCACATTGAATATAAAAAATCCTCTCAAAAGAAGTAGTAAATTACTCACCTTAATTCTCAAAATTCAATTCAAACCCCTATTTTTCAACCTCAATGCAATCACTACATAATTCAAAGTAATATATAACGATTAATCTCTATTCCTAACTTTGTCATTTTGCGATCCTATATTTAATTTTTATACTTCATATCCATTAATATATATTTTATATATCCTTTACATATAAATAATATTTTTAATGTGAACTAATAGAGTATGAAATTAATCTGGGCAGTTTATAAAAAATTTCTAAAATTTTGGGGTTAAATCATAATTTTTGAAACTTTATCATTAAATCATAATCCCTTACCCAATACAAAGTCCTGAAATTTTGTCATGTATCTATTGGATTTATACCAGGCCTATCAACGCGTGTCCTAGTGAGTATATGTCAAAAAATACTCTACTTATATTTAATTCATTTTTTAATTTATGTTTAATAAATTATATCGTATCAAAATTCGTATCATATATGAATGACATAATTGGTGTATAAACAAATCTGTCATGTAATTTTTTTTTTTTATTAATTTTATTTATACCCGATTTGTTTGTGAAATGTGTTAGATCGGTCCACTCTTTCACTAAACATATAGTTTAAGTAAGATCCAAACCCTCTAATTTTGTCTTGTATCGTCTCGGGTTAACGAATCGTGTCAACACTCATAATTTATACGAATATATTTTTTCCCAGTTTTTTAGATTATCTATCAGTTAGGTTGGGATGGGCTAAAAAGAAGCCCATGACCCTACATTCCAAGCCCAAATGTCAATCAATGGCCTATCGTGGCCGGTGGACTAAGTCCATGCTCCGATAGACCACCAGGCTTTTCGGGCCAACCAGTAGGGGTCACAGAAGACTGTTATGGTTAGTCTTGGAGGAAATAAAATGTTACTGAGATCTAATTTGAGAACTTCTATTCCTCCTATGGATGAGCGTAGATCAGGTGAGTCTAACTCTTCTGTCTATAAGGGATAGGGCTTGCAAAAGGTATAAATTATGTCATTTTTTAGCCGGGTATCTTGATCCAGCATATTTCTAGGGAGGAGTCTCTTCCAGAGATAAATATATATAAATAGTTGTACGAGCATTATATTTGATTTTGTGAACCTTGAATTAGAAGAGGGCTTCATCTAATATTAAAATTCATAATTAATATAACAATTACATTAAATTAAATCTCTGATTATGTCTCTATAGCATTGCTGTGAGAAAAAATATAAACAATGTTATAAGGATCTAATTAAATACAGCCGTGAGATTAGTTGAAAGTTCTGAACTTAGATTAAATTAGCGTCACAACCTGGTGTCAGCATTCAATAAGAACATAATAAGTAAAAAAGTGGAACCAATCCTAAGCGATGATTCAAGTGATAACAGGACGAGCTGTCAATCTAGACGTCATGAGTTCAAATTATGACAACCCTTTGGATGAGGCTATGAAAATTATGAATATCCTAGTTCCGACATTGATGGTCTGCCTTTGATCGAACTCAGGAAGAAATTAATTAAAATACATATAAACTGACCTAGATATCTCTGATTGATTGTTGAACAAAAAAAAAAAATGGATCACACATATTTATCACTACTCCATGTCATTTGATAAGCACCTCACGTTAAAAACAAAAAAAATATATATATAGGGTCTATTTTATCAATTTTGTAATGTAATATCACGTAATATTAATAATGTAATATCATTGTAACTAGTATTTACTCCTACTCTTTAGACAAATCTATCTTGCATTGCAAAGTCGAACTTCAGTTTATTTGCTCAAAAGCATATATAAATTGGTTTTAGCGAGCTAAGCTAGCAACAAAATAATGGTAATTTTTGAAATCTTAAAACTCAAGTTAATTATGGAATCATCATATTGGCTTAGTACATCAAGTTTAATAGTGCAAAAATCCAACTAGCCATCACCTATAATCTTTTGGATTTAAATCCTGTTCAATATATTCCCTCAAGTTTTATATAGAAACAATGTGTTATTAACCATGGATGAAAACTTTTTACTGGTTGATCAGACCGGAGAGGAGATTAGTCAATGTGTGTGTAAGTTAACTCAGAAACCTCTAACCGTTGAACAAAAAAAAAAGAGTGATTAAGTAGTTGAGTTTAGTCTTTTAGTAACTTAGAAATCTCAGATTCTATCTCTTTTCATATCCCCTAAAGCTAGCCACTTTTATCATTTTAGGAACATACTCTAATCCAATTCAAGATACGGTGATCATATGCTGAGGTCGAGAGAGTAGTTGACTTGAGTCAGAAGACTATGCAGCAACAAAAAAATAAAATAAAAAAATGGCTGCCTTGTTTCATGCGGTGGTGACACCAACAACAAAATCCAAATTTGTGTTTTAATTGGTTAATGTAATAAATATGTCAAATTTAGATTACGATAAATATATTTTTGACATGATTTATCATTCTCATAAGAAAATCAAAACTACATTTTCAAATAAAAACTTAATCTTAATTATGGAGTTGAGTTTTACAGGAAAGTTGGTCCGTCAAACCTATTCAATATCCAAATTAACAAGATTTTAGTTATATATAAGATACATTTGATTATAAATAATTATAAGCGAATCAGTTATAAATTAAATAAAATTTCTCACTTCACGACTTAGACACAAAAGATGAACATTATACAACACTCTACATTGCTAATCTATTTTATGCTTGACTATCTATTTTAAAAAAAGAGAAAAAAAGAAAGAAATAAAAGAAAATAGTGAGAATATACAAAAAATGGATAAAAGCTTAAGGAGGAAAAACTGGCTAAATGGCATATGGTACACCATAGAATTTCCCTCCACGTAATTTCGTCTTTTTGGGGCACAGTCAGTAACAAGACTTCTTGTTCTCCAAGCCACTTTAAAGTCCCATTTCCCCTACCCGTTGCTTCTTGATATTTCCCTCCCAATCATAAAACCCCAAAACTCTCTCTCTCTCACTCATCTTCAACACAGTCACAGCAACTTTCTCTCTCTATATCTCAACAATGGAGAGAGCCGTTTTTCTTCGTTCTCTTTCCACTACAACCACACTCTCTTGTTCTCGATTCTTTTCTCGCTCTTCTCACCGACTTGCTTCCCTCTCTTCCAAACGGCACCGTTTACTGTCCAACCTCCAAAGACGCTCTCTTTTTCGCAACCATGTGAGACTCATCTCCACCGCATCGCCGCCTTCAATCTACCTGAAAGGACACTTCTGCGCTCTATCCACTCGAGCTATTGCCACCTCTTCGCCACAATCCTCTCCCGGTACTCAGCTCTGTCGTCTTTTCCCTAATTCTTTCAAATTACCCAATTTTGATTAATTTCGTCTTTACCAATTCTGTCAAACTACTCAGTTTTTATTCGATTTTGAGCGATTAATTTTGCTGTTTTTGTTTGTTTTAGATGTTCTTGGGGCTCATGATGATGTTGCTGAGAAGTTTGGGTTCGACAAAGTTTCGGAGCAGTTCATTGAGGAGTGTAAATCGAGAGCTGTTTTGTATAAGCATAAAAAGACCGGTGCCGAAGTCATGTCGGTATCGAATGAGGACGAAAACAAAGTCTTTGGCATTGTTCTTCGAACTCCTCCGTAAGTATTTATTTATAATTTGATTTCTTATAATCTTTGTGGTTCTTCTTATATGTATTTATTTCCTTAACTTATTGAAATTTGCTTCTGTAGTAGATTTAAGTGTTTTTTTTAAAGGAACTTAAAGAAGAGGTATTCCTTAAAACTTGATGACAGTTTCTATGGCAATGCAAGTTTTGGACAAATCCCTTGTAGCAAAAAAAATTCAAATTTCATATGTTGTTATAACAACTGGGTAAGTGTTAATTATATACTCTGATTGAAGTTGGCGGAAGTATGGAAGATCGGATTGATAGAAGCAACCGTTCCTGCTCTGGGTTGCTTACTGAAAACTGTAAAGACTTCAGTTGGCTGTATGACTTCTTTAGGAAAATATCTAATCATCTATGTATGGGAAAAAGATATAGAATATTATGTCCATGCAATATGTTTGTCATTGGTAAAACTGTGGGGTTTTAAAGGGAACATGGATATCTAAAAGGGAACATTCTTCAACAACAGATTTCGCCATCTGTTCTCCTTCCCATTTAGTTAAGGTCTATCCTTGCATTACTAATGAATGGGAATACCTTAGAACGTAATAGATTTGACCATAAGCCCTAAGAGCAAGCAAAAAAATCTCCCTTGCTCAACCTCTTCATTCTCACTGGTTATGATGCTAACAAGAGGATTAAGAAAAGGGAATGATGTTATAAAGCTGTATTGTATTTGTGGGTTGTGGTTCATGTGCATTTCCCTGGTTATGAGTTAAACTAAAAACTCAATAACATTATGTTAGTTTGTTAATTTGAACTCTGAACCTCCTAGTCATATCCTGCAGTGAATGCTAGTGTTATACATGGAAAAAATTTGTATCGACTAGAAAAATTTGAAGGTGTTTCAAGGGACAATAAAATGGCTTATTAATTATTTTGCACTTTACCAAATTCGATCTGTTGTGCTGGTACTAATCAATCTCTGTGTTGGATTTCTGTTTGGCAAAGATATATTTTTGACAAATATGGTCGGTCAAGATATTATCATTTTGTTCTAATGTTTTGCAGGAAAGATTCCACTGGAATTCCTCACATATTGGAACACAGCGTTTTGTGTGGTTCGAGAAAGTATCCACTGAAAGAACCATTTGTTGAACTATTGAAAGGGAGCTTGCACACCTTTTTAAATGCATTCACATATCCTGATAGGACTTGCTATCCTGTTGCTTCCACAAATATGAAGGTTTAACATTTGCTTAAGGTTCTGGAATCAAAGAATAGATGAGGTCTCCCTTGAATATATTTTAAATTGACGTGTACTTATTATTGTGCTGACAGGATTTCTATAACTTGGTCGATGTGTACTTGGATGCCGTCTTCTTCCCTAAATGCGTGGAGGACTTCCAGACTTTTCAACAAGAGGGGTGGCATTATGAACTGAATGACCCTTCAGAGGATATAACTTATAAAGGTTGTTTTTGAATTTTTTCTCTTTGTCCTTGTTCTTTTATTTATTTATTTTTTGGCTTACTTGTCAATTTGCCTACCGAGCTTTAAGTTCTTCTGCCAGTAGCATTGACGTATTTTCTGGTCTGAAAAGATGCAACAGCACCCTGATCACATAACTCATGTGTCATTTCTTTCTAATAGTTTTTGGGGACAATATCAGGTGTTGTTTTCAATGAGATGAAAGGTGTTTACTCCCAGCCTGATAACATATTAGGTCGAACCTCTCAACAGGCAAGTGCTTCACATTGTTTTTTCGAAAAGTAAGTGCTTCTCGTTGTTCATAACATCATTTTAATAATACTTGGGCAAAACTTTCAAACACTATCCAATAAACTCTGGTTTTATATTGGGAAATTAGATTGGTTTTTGTAGCTTATTTCTTTTGTATTATTTTTCCTTTTTGATTATTCATTGGTCCAAAGTAGCTTTCCAATCTCTTTGTTTGCTATAATCTCTTTATTTTTCATTATCATAACTCCAAAATAGGAAAGTTCATTCTTTGAAATGTATTTATTTTCTTTCTATATCTTTTTTGTGGGACTAGGGTGGTTTCATGTAATATATCTTTTGGATTCTTTGGATTTTACATTTCCTCTGTTATTCTTAAAGAGAGTCCAAGGTAATGGCCAGATTTTTGCCTGGTTGAGTGGTAACTCCACACCATGCTTCGTGCAATATTTTCTCAAGCTACTTATAATAAATAACAAAACGCAAGCCTACACTTATGCAACATTTGTACATAGGCAATTTGTTCCATGCCATGCTCATCCTTGAACCACTTCTTATTGTTGTGTGTGCTTAATTATTTTGGGCTATTTTGATTGCATTCTTGTAAGGAGTTGGAAAACTGTATGGCATCCTTGATGCTGAATGCAATTTGAGTATGCAAATGAATATGGGATACACTGCTACTAAAATGGTTACTATTTAATTCGTAGCAGATTGACTTAAGCACTTATATTCCTCACTGCTTCACTATATTTTGTCCAGGCTCTTTTTCCAGACAATACTTATGGTGTTGATAGTGGAGGTGATCCACAAGTTATTCCCAAGCTCACTTTTGAGGAATTCAAGGTTTGTTCCAAGTATCATTTTGTTTTCGTGTTGCTGTATAATAATGCAAGCCAAAAAAAAAAAAAATTTATATGTAAATGAAAATACAATTCACAGCGTCTTTATTTATCTAGAAGCTTTGAGACACTGGGTGATAGGGTTTAGCCGGTCTTCCTTCATAAGATGTTTGCTTTGATGATTAAAAATTGTAGATAAAAACCTATGTAAGGTTGCATGGAATAGTCCTACATACACCTATCATATGGGAGTATAGTATTTATAATATATCAATCTTTTGAGAAAGAATCTAGTACCGAGTCAACTACAACTGATTTGGAGACTATCAGACAGCTCCCTGATGGATCAGTTAAAATATCCTTTGATACTGCTAGATCCAGTGGATCTAGTAGATTCATCCCCAGGCATGATCAGTTTTCTGAAGGAAGAAAATCTGATTTCTCATCTGTTTCCCATAGAGACAGAGAGATTGCCAAAGAACTTGACCATAGGTTAAAAGGAATCGCTAATTCCTCTGACCTAGTAGCTAGACCAGTATACACTCCCATAAATGTCCCATTAAGGTCTAGATACACAGAATTTAAACAAACAGAGAATGAAGAATTCACTCCTTCACCTTCTCTGTCACCTACTGCTAGTGCTTTTGATGGAAATGTAGCATCCAGCAAAATCCATCAATTATACACTATCACTAGGGAAAAAGAATTTTTTATGCCTGATATTTACAAGTTAAAAAAGAATTTCAAAACCCCTGAGAACAGACCTCTTAGGAAAGCTTTTGAATCTTTACCTTGTAAAACCCAGGAAACCATTAAGAAAGAATGGGTAAAATTAATGTATAAGTTAGAATCTGAGATTGCTTTAGAAGACTACTTAAGTAACTTCCACAAAGAAGTAAAAGTAGTAACTCAGTAAAATTGGAAAACAGAATCTGCCGTGGTAACCTCTAGTCACCCACCAGCAGAAACTATTGAAATCAAATATGCTACTAAAACTGTCACAGCTACTCCCTTTAAGATTCCAGTTTTAGAATCTGAAAAGAAAGTAGTTGAACAGGTCAATTTCACCAACCAAAGCCTAATTACTATAGGTAAACAGTTGGACAAAATTGAAACTAAAATAGATGAAATCAAACCATCTTCAGTAGAAAGACCATTAGTCAACCTACCTGAAGAAAGAAAGAATTTAGGTTTAAAAGACAAAAACCTAATTCAACAGATTGATGCACTCTTATCTAGGAAAGAATCTACTAGTACTTCTCAGATAACAGTCATCAACCAAACTGAAGAAAGTTCAGAGTCCAATTCAGAATCCAGTAGTCCAGAAGACACCACTGATTCTGACTCTGAAATAAAAGATTTAGAAAATCAGTTTAGGGATCACAGTATGACCCAACCTGATTCTAAAATCAATGCACTGGTTAGAGTCCCTACCAGCTCCACAAAGAACTGGTATTCTAGACCCACTCCACCAGATCTTCAGTATGAAGAGAAAAATGTGTTGAACCAGTTTTCTGTTCAGTCTAACAGACTCTATGAATGGAACATAGATGGTCTAAGTGAACAGGAAATTCTTAATAAAATTAGTCATCTATCCATGGTGTTAAATAATTATATGACCAATCTTGATAGCCCTGAACCTGAGATTGTCAAACTAATAGTTTCAGGATTTACAGGTGTTCTTAGAAATTGGTGGGATAATTATTTAAACCAGGAACAACGAGACAGCATCATTAATGCTGTTTTCAAAGATGATGAAGGCCTTCCGATCTTGGATGAAAGGATTGGAATAGCTAAACCTGATGGATGTAATACTCTTATATTCACCATCATCAAACACTTTGTTGGCACTCCTAGTAGCATTACTGCTAGGATTCATGACCAATTGACCAACCTAAAATGTCCCACACTTAGTGACTTTAGGTGGTATAAAGATGTCTTTGTTTCCCGTGTTATGGTTCGCCCAGACTGCCAAAAAGCTTTCTGGAAAGAAAAATTTGTTAATGGACTACCAAATCTTTTTGCCCATAAGGTTAGAGAATCCCTTAGCAAAGACACAGGGATCATTGAATATGATAATCTTGCTTATGGAGAACTCATTAGCACCATCCAAAATGTAGGATTAAAATGGTGTGTTGATCTAAGAATCAATAAGCAATTAACAAATGAAAAACATAAGGCTAAATATGAGTTAGAAAATTTTTGTGAACAATATGGGTTACAGCCATTAGCTCCTTCCCATAAGAAACACACAAAATCCAAACCACATAAGCCTTATTCTAAAAACAAATCTTATCAAAGATTTTTCCCTCACCACAAAACTGCCAAAAGATCTAAACCTGAATCTTCCAGAAAACCTAGAAGAAAATTTAGATCCAAAAGGACAGATAAAGGAAAAGGAAAAGTCCAAGATAATATTACATGTTTTAACTGCGGAAAACCAGGCCACATTAGTCCTGAATGCCCAGTTAAAAAACAAGTCAAAAGATTAATCTATCCCAAGATGATGAGGACAGAATCCTTGAAATCTTTAGGGTAAATAATCTTGAAAGTTCTGAAGAATCAAACAGTCCAGTAGACACCTCAGACTCTTCAGATTATTATTCAGCTTCTGATCACCCTGATAATCCTAGAATTAAAATAGGATGCTCTTGTCAAAAACAAGTCAGAGTAATCACTAAGCAAAATGAAGAACATATACTTATAGACTTGATCTCCAAGATAGAAGATCCAGATCTAAAAGATAAGTATGTCAAACAGCTTAGAAACCTTTTCAGTAAAAAGGATAATAAGCAACCTATTATAGAAAAACAATTGATAAGCCTTAACAAAACTATGGAAAGATTTAGTAAGGAAAAGAAAAAAGAAATCACCTTACAAGATCTCCAAAGTGAAGTTAATAAACTTAAAATAGAGATAAAAGATTTAAAAGCTCAAGACAAGAAATTTGCTGAAGCTTTAACTCTTTTACAAACAGAAAAATATTCTGAAAAATCCCAGGATTCTGATCCAGAAGATCAGACTGCAGATTTTATTAATCCTTTTGATCATCAAGATTACACACAGGGGATACCAGTAACCTCCTCCTTTCAGACGGAAACTTCTGGTGTAACGAACCTGCCTTCATTCCAAGAAGGAGCCACTTCTAATGACAAAAGAATTAGTCTAATTAATTCTTTAACTGTCCAAAAATGGCATGTTGAAGTAAAATTAATTATTAACAACAGTTTTCATATTACTGTTATTGCCCTATTGGACACTGGAGCAGATGTTAACTGCATCCAAGAAGGATTAATTCCAACCATGTTTTATGAAAAAACATTGGAAAGAATTAGTTCTGCCAATGGCAGTAAAATGAATGTTAAATACAAACTTCCTAGAGTTCATGTATGTCAACAAGATGTATGTTTTGAAACATCCTTCCTTCTTGTTAAAACATGACTGATGCTGTTATTCTTGGTCTTCCATTTATCTACCTTTTGTACTCTTTTAGTACAAATACAGATGGAATATCAACCAAGCATTTTGGAAGGAAAATTGTATTTACATTTATTACCAAACCTGAGAAAAAACATTTAAGGCAGCTAAAAGACATTTCTGTCTCACAGTCCCTTAATGTTATTAACAGAAAAATTAAACAAGTGGAATTTCTTAAACAAGAGATTAACCACCTCAGAACTAAAGAAAACCTAACCAATCCAATCTTACAACAAAAGATCGATAGGTTTAGGGAAAACTTAGAGTCAGAAGTTTGTTCCTCCCTTCCTACAGCATTCTGGCATAGGAAGAAGCACATGGTCAGACTTCCATATATTAAAGGATTTAGTGAAAACAATATTCCTACTAAATCCAGACCCATCCAAATGAACCATGAAACTACTGAGATCTGTAAAAAAGAAATCTCAGAGTTACTTAAAAATGGTATCATCAGGAATAGTAAGTCACCTTAGTCTTGTCCTGCTTTCTATGTAGTCAAAAATGCAGAATTAGAAAGAGGAGTTCCAAGGTTAGTCATAAACTATAAACATTTAAACAAGGTTTTAGAATGGATTAGGTACCCTATACCTAACAAACAGGATTTGATAAAAAGACTCAATAAGTCTACTATCTTTTCCAAATTTGATCTGAAAAGTGGTTTTTGGCAAATACAGATCCACCCTATGGACAGGTATAAGACCGCTTTTACTACTCCCTTCGGACATTATGAATGGAATGTCATGCCCTTTGGGTTAAAAAATGCCCCAAGTGAATTCCAGAACATAATGAATGAAGTCTTCAATTGTATCAGTCATTTTTCTATTGTCTATATAGATGATATACTCATCTTCTCCAGAACAATAGAAGAACACTGGAAGCACCTTTATGCTTTTCATACAATTGTCAAACAAAATGGATTAATGTTATCTGCATCTAAGATTAAATTGTTCCAAACCTCAGTAAGGTTTTTAGGATACAATATTCAGGATTCTACTATCACTCCTATTAGTAGAGCCATCCAATTTGCAGATAAATTTTCCGATGAAATCTTAGACAAAACTCAATTACAAAGGTTTTTAGGTTCCCTAAATTATGTTTCTGACTTTTATCAGGATCTTAGGAAAACCATCAAACCTCTGTATGACAGGCTCAAAGGAAATCCTTCTCCTTGGACCACTGTTCATACCTCTATTGTTCAACAGGTCAAGAAGTTCATCAAAACTCTTCCCTGTCTTGGTATTCCGTCCGTTGATTCTTTCAAAATCATCCAGACTGATGCCTCTGATATTGGTTATGGTGGAATCCTCCTTCAGAGAGAATCTCCTAATTCTCCTGAACAAATTGTTCGGTTCCATTCTGGTATTTGGAATAAAACCCAAAAGAATTATTCCACTATTAAAAAAGAGATTTTATCTATTGTCCTGTGTATCTCTAAATTCCAGGATGATATATTGAATCAAAAGTTCCTTGTGCGGGTTGACTGTAAATCAGCCAAGGATGTTTTAACCAAAGATGTCAAAAATATAGCTGCTAAGCAAATTTTTGCTAGATGGCAATCTATTTTAAGTATTTTCGATTTTGATATAGAATATATCAAAGGAGAACATAATTATATTCCTGATTTCCTAACCAAAGAATTTTTGCAGGAACCTCATGGCGGACAGGAAACCT